CTGGCCGGTGGACAGCAGTGCACCAATGCCTCCGCTGAAAGTGGTAATGAAGAAGGCGGGGTTGACGGTCCGACCTCCTCTAGCGGATCCTATTCCGTACAGGATATACCTACTTGGCTGAGGATATATTCAAAAGCACCATCGAAGCTTGACCATCTGTTAAAGTGGGACGTGTTCCGCTTGCCACAGCTCGTCTACTTCGACAACATACTCTTGAAGCTGTACAAACAGGAGATTATAAGCATCGTGGCCGCCTATGAACGGTACCGATTCGCGTTGACCAATGAAATTGAGCGCAGAAAAAACGCAACCAGCGCCGTTTCTCTCGATCAGCCGGATTTTTGAACGAAAAACCTATGCCTCGTTTATTACAGTTTATTCTTCATGCTGTAGAAGCATTCATTGACGTCGCAGACTTCTTTCTGTGTATGATTCTGAAAGTTTTAATCTCGCCTTTACCGCAGCTGAAATTATTTTTTCCAAAATCTATTACGACTTGTATGGCGATATCCGTTGCGTAGCCATTGGAAGCTTTTATAATTGACTGAAGCTTCTGCATTATTGTTGACTATTTTTTGCCATTGTAGTTTTATTTGTTTTTTTTAGTATTGATTCAAACTGTACTTGAATGAATCACGGGTAAAGCATTGTACCAAGTTTTCAGGTAATCGACATAAATTTCTCACCTAACTCATGGCACCTCTTGCTTGGCCAAATCAGCACTTTCAGATATTTCGTAAATCATTACAGCATAACTCCTTTGTTAGAATGGTGTTTTGTATGATGTCGAAACACAGTTTCGGTATCACACCATAGGCTCGGTGAAAGAAACATGCCGTAAATATTGATCGACATTTTCGACAAGCCAGAAACTCTAGTTTTTAACTCCAGTTTTTTGCAAAAAAAATTAATTTGAATTTAATACACTGTAACAAATCCTTAAGTAAAGCATTAGTTTCTTTGTAACTATTGAAAGCCAGATTTAAATAGCAAACTTTGTACTGCAAAGTACCTGATTGACGGCGATATTGCGGTAGTGCATGACATACGGTAGTCATTAAACCCGGTTGTACCCCAGTGATGCGCTGTTTCCTGGCTTCTAGTCACATACGGAGAGGGGTATTTTAGATGTTTCACAGCTCCATCGTATCTGAGTGCATTGAACACGCAAAATCGAGTCAGGGAGTTAGGCTGAGCAACGTGTTCGAGCACCAACAAATTGTCACCACGCGTTGAAAAATATTAAATATCTGTTTGTTTCTGTTCCAATTATAAGAGGATAAAAAGAAAGTATGTAGCCACTGTCTTATTGAAAACGTGACATATTAGATAACGCAGTCCTGTACTGAAGCTTAAGTTCCGAAGAAAATCCGTCGCTTCTTAATGGAAAACACTTCTTTGAAAGGTGACGGGTTTGTAAAAAAAGTTTTAATCTACATTTGTTTTTGTACTAAAAGATTTAATCAAGGTTTTAATAATAAGCACTTAACTCCTAAACTGAAACGGCAAGGTTGCATGTTGAAAAATTGTTTGTTTGACACCATGTTCGCCAAGAAGTACTTTCTCCAATTTAAAAAATTTTTGTTAATGAATACACCACCACAAAAAGAGTTAAGCGAGACTAGTCAGAAGCGTACAGGTTTCCCAAACGTTGCGTGTACCCATCTCTAACCTTGTATTTGATGACTGGTCCGAGAACGAAACACAGATCTTCAGACCATAGAGACTCATGTATTACCGTAATATAGACAACAATGAACTCGTGATGTGTAGCAACGTATTACCTTAAGCAAAATACTGAAAGTTATTTTTTGAACAGCACCTTGTCGAACAATAGCCATTTACTAAAGATTTGCAGCGATCCGCGCTGCTACGAAATCATCAACCAGTTTCGTGATAGGTCCCGGTTTCAGATAGTCTCACCAACGTTCGCCATATTCTGTTCCAGCTTTTCAGCTTACAGAAATCAGATGATCTCCAGAGTTGTTGACACCTGCCCAAGGTAATATTCCGGTCTTCGGGGACTTCAGCCGGTCCAAAGACATAATCATACCATCACCGCTGTGACTCCTTAATTTGGGGAAGACGCGGATGTCAGGGAAATCTGAACTGCGGACCACACAGAAACGCCTCAGTCCATCGATTCCTGTCATGTAGTCTATTTTAGTCGTTGATATCCATGATCTGAAGTGTCGCATTCGAATATCGTCTCTACCAAAATACGCCACGCTTCCAATTAAGATTGGTCAGTTAAGATTGGTCTTCCTTACGCAGGTAGAAAGCAGCCCGCTTCGATTATAATCTATCCTGCAGATAATTCGCTAGATATGCAGGAGCGTTGCAGTCTTGTTCTAGACAGGTTCGGTCTTTGGTTTCCGGGTCTTCTGAAGGTTCCTGATCAGAATGTAATTAATAATTTCGCTTAAATAATAATATGCCTGTTCTCATCCATCAAGGTTAGATACGTCACTCTTTCCAGTAACATGGTTGTCAGTCTGTCAGGCGTTCTGTGAAAGAATCATGCTCTTTTTGATTGGAAACACGTTGGTCATTTAAGTTTGAATGCGTGCACCTGATTGGCAGTTGGTAATAGCCGGAATATCATTTTTCTTTTCGGTGATGCTGCTTTTTATCTGTTTGGAGATTTTATCTAAGTTCATTTGTATGTTGTTTATCCAGTCAACTTATATGGTGTGGAATTTGTCATTGTCCTTCTCCAGAATTGAAGTGATTCTTTGGCGTTAGAACCAGCTGTTTCTACATAACTTGAAGATTTGCTCCTTGCCTATGGAAGTTCTCTATAGAACATTGAAGCATATACAAAGAAGCTTCTGTTCTGTTTGTACCGCTCCAGTTTGTTCCAGTATAACCGAAGTTCGTCGATACCGGCAGTAACCCAATGCTTAGAATCGTCGTACGCAGTTTTTTCTGTTTGGTCTGGTCCAATCCTGTATTTCTTCACTATAGTAGTTGCTTATATCTTTATATCGCCGCTATTAGTTCTTGTAGTTGGTTACTTCATTGCGTATATCTTTTTCTCTATTCTTGATTTTCTTTGCCAAGATAGTTTCTAGCTTAACGGAAAATTTTTTTGTTATCTGGCACATCGCACCATTGGTGGACTCCAAATTACTGGTTACTATCGTCTTCAGGACATTGTTTTCTTATGATATGTTCCTGTAGCTCTCTCGTCTCTGATAGCACCAAAACGTTTAGTGCATTCTGCAAGCCGTTCACACTCCTGATGAATCTTCTACCAAAATGGTTCTTCTTAATCATTCACTTGAATGACTTCTGTCTTCTCAGTCATTTCGACCTTTGGTCTCGTGAGTTTGTCCGGGATGTTTTCACTAACATGTTAATAGTAATGATTTGGTTTATTTCCTTGCTGTATAATATCACTATGAAGCCCCCACTTGATCTTCTTCAGCTCCAACTCTGATAGCAGCACGTTCTCGTCATTGAGCCCTTTGTAGACCGCTAGATCTTTCTCGTTTGTATCGCTGAGAGCGTAGACATTCCTCCGTTAGTCCTCCATTGTTGATCGATAACTCATGCCCTGAATCACTCACCGTTGCACCCTGAATCACTCACCTTTTTTTCTCTCGCCGACTGTTGTTTCTGCACCCGTCGCCGTTCTGCCACATCCCTAGTCGCGTCAGGATGTGAAACAGGTTCTTCTTGCTCACTTATTACAGACTGTCTTATTTCTCTAATATCATGCGCGAGACCCTTGGTAGCCCCAGCGTAGACTGGTTCAGTGTAGTAACATTTTCATTTTGATACACCATAGTCTGTTCTTTCAACAGAGCTATTCACTCTAGGTGGCCCTACCAGAAGCCGAAGCTTCCGTCTGGATCATATTAATGATCATTGCTTCACGCAAAGCCCTCTTCTCTTAATTCTCTTCCACGTCATGACTGCAGTATCAGCGAGGATGCTATCATATTAAAACTATGTACTCCGTGGCGTATCTGACAGTCTTCTTGTTTTAAATAATATCTGCTTGAGACAGGGACGACACAGAGCGCGGCAATACGTTATACATGCGCCTGCTGGTGAACCACATCTACTACGCACTGCCGAAAGTTAGTGGTGAACGTTTACAAATTAATTAATCAGTTTGTAATTACAAACTATTACAATTCTCGCCATATAAACACTGATTTATGTTGATCGTTATTTGCTCGTGATGAGGAGCGATCGTAGGAAGTAAATAGAATTACACGTAATGTATCAGCACATAATAATGCTCTGACTTCCCAGGAGATCACCTGGCTCGTTTAATTAGTCACTCATTACGCTGAGCCAAAGTACTGTACTGCACTCGTTTGTAACTCAAGTGGTTTAGGCATTAGTCAACAATAATTGTTTAGGCCGCAAAAACAGTAGAGCAACAAATATCTGAATTGTCGGTAGGGAACCCAGCATTCTCCGGTTCTTGACAACTTTCATGACATATTTAGATCTGTCAAATTAGCATGCACTGGAAGATGGGTAAAAGATTTTGTAATGGTCGTGATTCACTTATAGATGAAATGTCGATATGATTCGTTAATGTTTGACCTTTTCAGAATATACGAGCAGACGGTGCTTCCCGGTAGTTACGTTCGCCCGTACCTGATATTCGTCTATGCAGAATGGTGCATCGCGTGTAGGCAAGCGGAGCCGGCATGGGTACGGATAGTGAACGATTTTCAACCGATAGGTAACACAATAGCCTGTGCATGATGCTGGCCCCCTGTTTGTGATTCTACGGGGCTCCTGTTTTAGGCTTTGGCATAGCGACGGTGAACAGCATGATCGAAGGCACCCTCGCCGAACGTCTGCGGGCACGACGGCTGCCGATGCTTGTGTCGGTGGTTGATGGGCGCGTTTTCAGATCTGACGGGTCGCTGGGAATCAAGGACGTGCTGCGCTTTGTTCGGACCGTTTTCCCGTCCGGTATAATGATTCTCATAGAGGACCTGAACGAATTTCACAAAGTACACGCCGACGCCGTTCGGCGCAACAAAGTGCTGGTGGTGATTTTCTCCGATCAAGAGAAGCCGCGGATGAGGTACTTGGTGTCGGCACTGAACTACAGGCCGTACTGCCAGTTCGCGTTTGTCAACACACAGCTGGCGTACGGAGGCTTGGTCGAGGAGTTCCAACCGGCTGACCGCGCCACCACTGACACGCTGATGATATTCAACGAAGTGATGACTGTCCCGGCGTTCCGTGTCGAACTGTCTGCATCTGAGTTTGAGTCTTCATCGTTCGCTGACGCGATCCAGGCTCGGAAACTGTTGCTGCTGCCGAGGCTATCGTCCCAAAATCACTTCGACAGCGTTTGCCCTCCAAATGCCATGACTGGTATCGCCACTCGCCGTTGGTGCGCCATCCTTGTGGTCAGCTTGAAGAGCGATGACGATTTATACATATCGCAGTATCGTTTGCACTCCACGCAGCTGTCGTACGGTGGTAGTTCAGGTCTGCCCGCTGTCAGGCCATGCTACGTATACCAGGATGTTCAGACGTCGTTCGTCGACGTACTGTTTTGCAACGGTACCTCTGAGACTGATGCCCCCGCCTCGAACGACGGGCAGTTCGACCCTCACCAAGGACGCGGTGACATGTTCCGCACCATCGTGCTGTTGCTGCGTCTGAACAAAGACACCGCCAAATATCTCACTCTGCGTAACGTCTGGAACGGTACCGACGCCGGTGCGGTCAACAGGTCGCTTGCATTGGTTCGCTTTTACCTCCAGCAGCTGAACGGTGATGACAGCCAAATGACAATGCTATCCGAAGCGCACTTGCCGACGCTCGTCGACGAGAACGCCCCCACCCTATACAGAAAGTTGGCTGCCCGGTTCATGCGCGGTTTGGAGTCGTTCAGCTACCAACTGACCAAAGAAGAGGTGCTTCCGATCGTCTCCGTCTTGGGCACCCTTGGTGCCATCTGTCTGATGGGCTACTTAATGAACTACGTTTCGTAAGTACCGTATATATCTTGGCCTCTTCGTTATTTAATGTATTTACCGGTCGTATGTCATTTTATACCAAACGAACTCCGCCACTGTTCAGAATTTGTCAAACTCATGTATGTGCTGCTTGACGCATCCGGTTTTTCTCTATGATTCACTTTTATCTCTCCGATGGCTGACTATATCATTGTGAGGTCTTATAGCTGCAGGTAAAAAATGTTTGATTAGAAATCGCAGATGTAAGATACCGCACGAACGTCGGTATAGCTAACGATCAGATCCAACACCTGCCTGCGTTCTACATTTCTTAAATACGGGTGCATGTTTAATATATCCAATGTTCAGACATCGTATATTTTTCCCTCTCCCATTTATTGTTTATAATTCGCGCACCATGTACCGTTTGTCCTCGGGGTAATCTAGCAACCAATCTCGAAGACTTATTAAAAACTTACAGTCATAGTCTGTTTATCCATAGAGGGATTGTTATGTGAGCAATTTGACGATTGCATTGTTTCAAGTAAATCAGGATTGTTATCGTATTTAAATTTTTCAAACACGTGTTCACTGAAAGTCAGAATTGGCAAGCACGGTAAAGCCATCTGACATCTCTGCTTATCATATCATAGTTTATTCGCCCATATGAAATTGTCGTAACTTTTATGATAAAGCACTAGAGGGATTGATAGCAGTTACGAAAATGAATTAAATCGCCAAGGAAGACTTTGTTCTAGTAAAGGTAGGGTAGCATCATTTACAGACAATCACTTTCAATAAATTTACGTACAGGAGTCAGTATTCCATACTCTTTCGTGATCAGTCCTGTTTATTGTATTCTATTTCATGGAGTTTATGGTATTGCCCTGACCTCGGTTTCTGTGCCACAGTTTAGACAGCGGTCGCTCAGTTGATAGAGCGTCGAACTCAGGACCGATAAATCTCGAGTTTAATCCTGGTCAGATCAGATCATTCACTTTTCTTACTTCCTTCCAGGGTCTGTGAGAAGGAATTAGGAAATTAGACATTACGTGCTGATAAAATGAAAATGGAAACCAGTGCCCCGCCATTCTTCATCGACATACACAGTCAGCCTTTGTCGATCCACTGTTTAATGAAGCCTCTCCAAGACTTTGCCATAAAGGCTTCTATTTTCTGCCATTTTCGTCTCTCCTGATCCAGCGAACTTCTTCCCTTCATCCTGCATCGATCTGGGGACGAGGAGGGGCGGGTCTTTCTATGAACCGTTCTTGTTGCAATGTTACCCCCTCCCGTTGCCACTTTATAACCACTTCACTCGGACAGTGACATCGCACTGTTGTTTGTGCTTTTACCTATTCATTCTTCTTCGTTAACTCCCCACGTTACCTTCGTGAAATGAAGGGCGCCAGAAATAGTTCCATCATGAAAATGTAAGCAATAATGGCATTCCAACAGCTGCAGACTTTCCCTTCTTCAATTTTTGAAACGAACTTCTGTCGCTAAATGTTCGCGACGGCGTGCAGTCTCCTGCTTTTGGCATCATCGTGGTACTGGCTTAGTTATTTTCGACGGCTTAGAAAATACTGGTTTCAAGGCTATGATCTTTGGATGAGAGCCTGACGCTCTGCTGACTGAGCTGTAATTTGCTGAATGCTTGTAGTTGCTGACGATGTGATTTTTTACCCACTGCTCTGAACAAAAGACGACGATTCATGGGCTGGACGGACCAACGTTCCAGACCGCACTTGATCAATGATATCAAAAAATAGGAGGAAAGCAACATCCCTCGTACGACTTTATGAATGATCAGCACTAGAAAGTTGATAATGATGTTATATCTATGTTCAAGTTCGTACGTTACGGCATCAATTAAACAAGATGTATGAACAACATCTGTTGTTTTTTGTTTACGTCAGCTAGCGGATCTTATCACTCCGTTAGACAGTATATCAAGGCCCTTTTGACTGTCGTCATTTTTATAACCTGGAAGAACGCCAGTGAGATGCATGTCTAAATATCGTTGTTGTCTGTCGTAACTCTGCATATAGTTAAGAGACTTAGCAACTGGTGGTACTTAGCAGTACTTAAAAGTACTTATTTGGTAGAATTCTCGTTTTAAACCACGTTTTATTGTTTTTGTGCACAAAGAGTTAACAGCTCTCTGTAGACTCATATACTGCAGTAGCAGAGACAAAAACGCTGGTTTGAAACATTGATAACGGACATAAATTTTAATTGTGCAAGAGCGGTATTTCGACTGTAATAATGTCACTTTTCAACAGGTCATTGCCCCTGTTGAATATTGTTATTCAACTCACCGGAATGAAGATCTGTGAGAGGCATATCTAATTATCGGTCCAGTAGTTGCTCTTTGTCGTAGCTATGCCTAACAGTTAGGATTTTGAGGTTTTATTTGCCAGTGGTATGCAACAGTATTTAAAAGTACTTATTTACTAGAACCTTCCGTTCAGATCAGGTATAACTGTTGTTTCTCACAGTAGCTGTATGAATCACTACTCACAATGTAGAGACTGAAACTGCAGATTGACAAATAAACAAATTGCTGTAGCCTTTAACTCTTGAGAAGGTGAACCTTAATTGTGCAGTAATAGTATTTCGACTGACCGAATGCCATTTTGAAGCATGTCGAACTGTCTGGAACATACGAATTAGTATGGAATTAAGATGCAGCGGATTTGGTTAATATTTACCCGTATTGTAGTCCTATTTTCTTTCTTTTCGTATCTTTGTCTGACTTACCATTATATTCGAGGATGCTGTATGATTTATGCTTGTTATAGAAATGTCAACGACAATCCGCTGTCCACGCCTCCAAAGTCGAAGTCTTTCAAAAAGGCGGAAGAACTTTCCCGCCTTATACGGGAGCTTAGAGCCGAGACTTACTTTGGAATGGTCCGTCTGCTTAAACCTGGATGCAGAACCATCGTGCTGCTTTGCGACAAGGAAAGCAAGGACGTTCTTCTACCTCAGTTTGGGCAGATAATTTGGCCTTGGCGAAGGTATGTTTATTTTGGCAACTTCTTGTGATGAGCATCAATGCGATTTATCTTCGACGGCACTAGATCAAAAATGATACTGGTCAAA